TACTATTGTAACCCCCCATAACATGAAACATATAACATGTAATATGTACTTTGTGTGGAAGTAAATCTTGCATAAAAATAAATTATATATAAAGATTTGAACGTGAAATCACACTGCATATTAAGCAATGACTTGAATTTTATTGCATTTAAAATACAGTCGTTATGATTAATTGAGTGTTCATAACTCAATTGAGCGGATTTGATTAATTAGATTTCAACGTTACAATTTAAAGTAATTAATATTTCAATGTCCTTTACGTTAAAGGTAATACAATTAAAAAATTAATAGTGCATAGTATTTTATCGTATCTATCTGTATCTATTAATTTATTTGAGCCAGGATAATAATTATCTTTCATCTTTAAAATAACAATAATAATTCAGAATAGGTTAATTCCTCCTTTCCTTTGCAATCTAATTGTGTTCTGTCTGTCTTTTGATATCGCCTTGTTTCTTTTTAACGGCAATATAATCTTAAAGTCAGAGTAATTCGCGCAGAAACATGGGCAAGGCGGAAGAATTATTCATTATCAATTGGTAAGAATACTTCTTCATCGAAGACACCTGCGAGTTCCGTTTATAGCGGCGAGTTAAGAGGTGAGTTATGCGTGCAAATGCGGTCGTTACAAGCAGTAGATAACGAAGTAACTTTTAAAGCAAATTGCCATATACATGCCACACGCACGTCGCAATTTTTCCGTCTCTGAAACTTGATTGCTATTTTAATAACGAGCGTGACAAGGTTGCACTCTTAGTCATTGATGACGCGGATAATTTCAAGAGGGACAGATGCGTTGCGTATTCCTCCTTTTTGGTATCTTTCTGAATACATAAATTCGAAAAACAAATTTAAAATACAAAAATAAAGTAATTTATCATCTATTGAACTAATAATTGCATTCCAATTAGAGATTACTGCGTATTAATTGACTGCTAACGAGATGCTATTCTATTCGTCTAAAGTTGCATAAAAATATAAGAAAAGCTCTGATAAAATCTGAATATATTACAATTATAAATTTATATCTTTAGTGCGCAATTAAGATCTACAGTAATTATCTACTTTTAATAAATTTCTTTCATTTCCCTTACATAAAAATATTTTAACTAATTTTATAATTTTGGTTTAATTTCTTAAAGATGAACGACTATATACAATACGAGCTAAAAATGTCAACTAAAAATTAGTTAAAAAGGCTAATATCGGTTAACTTTTTGGTTGACATCAGCAAAAACATTTTAGTCTTAAATATGTCTTAAAACTGTGAAGTATAAGATAACAAATAATTTAGCTTATGTAATTTAATGACCATATTTTGCTAGAGTGTTAGATAAATAACTTTTTAAAGGAATAATAAATAAATTCAAATAAACCTTTGTACAAATATTTATTAAAATTTTATTAGTACATCTAAAACATTTGATCTAATTTGTAAAGCTATTCCCTCAACTTACAAATAAGAACTATAACATACAATTTTACATAAAAATTACGACAAACAAAGGTTAAATAACTTTTAGACTTTTAATACGCGAAAATAATGTTCAAATTTTATACAAATACCCAAACGTAATAATAGAACAATTTGTAAAACTTTTATGAGTTTGCAATGCTTTGAAACACATATTATACATTCCTAATTACTGAATGACAAAAAAGCAATATTATCCCAAGCAAAACAAAAAAATCTTGATAAACATTTAAATACGTCAAAACGATTATTAAAATTCACTTTTTGATCAGTCATAATTTGTTTTAACGTCATTTAAAAATTAGCACAACTTATTGTTCTATTTAAAATGTTTTCCTTCATACGACTATTAATCTGTACGTGCATATGAATTTCTATATTTAGCTATGAATTTTCATCAAGATTATGCCAGAAACCATAAGCCCTCGATTTAGAGACGAAAGGTGTTCAGCACGAGCCACACCGTGCCGCGATCGTTTCTTCCGAGCAGCTGCCGCTATTTTTCGAAAATAAAGGTGGCCCTGCCGTCTGTCCGCGGACCCGCCACGTGCAAGGGTCTCTATCTTATTCCCTCGGCTTTTTTCCAATTTTAATTAACCGTCTTGATTATTCGTTTCGGTATGAGGAACGCGATTCATTAGTCGCGTCGACGGCACGACTCTTCACAATTATATAAAATTGCAAAGTGAGGACAATATATTGAGAGTGCGATATAGTGACTTAACCGACGGCCCCCGATCTCCTCCGTACGGTTAGTAGATTCTGCGTTAGCAGATGTACTTCCGGCAGCTGTAAAAGTGGTGTACCTCCTTTATAGGTGCACGCGCCCTCGACGCGCACGCGGCGAGACAATGAACACCGATTGGCCATTAGGTCCGCATCTGGCGGATTTCATGAGAGATCAATTTTCTATGCCGAGGTATCAATCCAACACATGATTCGATCGGACAAAATAATTGGAAGACGCTTATATAATTTTTTCGCGATGTCCCTTCACCGACATAATAAAGGAGGTATACATATTACAATCTGATAGGTTTTCAACAAATTTGTCATCTGTCATAGAATCTAACGCAGAGTTTGTGCAATCAGTACTACTAGGCTAGCGTCAGGATCCTTTTCGTCAACAGATGTATGCAAAACAATGTGCAGCCGTTCATTATATGAACTTCTTTTTAATATCTTCCATCTCCTTGATGCATGGCATGCTGCTACCATCTGCGCGGTGCAGAAGCTTTTTTCCACTACTTTAGTTTCTAAGACAATTTTTTGCACCGGCCAGACCGAACTCTCCGAGTTGTCGCAAATAAATTTGATCATGCACATTCCATTAAATTGCGACGTTAGTTTCATTATAACGTATAATTAGTTTCGTTTCTTTTCATTAAAAATTCTGTGAGAAAAGTGTCTTTCTCGTGTAAAGGTTTCCACGTATGTAATCATCATATTGATCCGTTACGATATAATTTTTTTCCTTTATCTCCATTAACTCTTACACACAGCAGCTAGGTTATTTGATTATGCTGTCCTGGGCATTTCTTTCCTTCGAACTACTGGAAGCACCTGGCTAAATATAATGGTCTCTTTGCTTTTTTAAATCTCTGCATGCAATCTGGGTCTATTTAGTACAAACGCAATTTTATTCTCGAATTTCTCCGTAATAAAGGAGAACGGAGTCCAATTCTCCCTTCTAAAATGTTTTGTTAGCAATGGAGTCTTGTAATAGAGATATTAAAACTCTGAAATTTTCCACACTTCTTGAAAGCCTTGAATAGCAAAAAAAAAAAACTTGGGCTGAGCAAAACAGTTCTAGTTGCAGACGCGAAAGAGCAAAAGTATGATTGCAGATAGAGGGTTAATACACGACCCTATAAATACTTTCTAAGGATGTTGAAGTATGTGAATCTTCATGTACTTGTATATAAAGATGATGAAAATTAATTCAGACATGAACGACCCGTCGTGTGTAATAAAGGAGAAAAATCATCGTATATATTAAAGATTAAGAATTCTAAGATTGAAGCCGTGATACTTATTGTTAGATAAATCATAATTTTTTGCTTTATACGATTATCGTTTGAGAAGTCGGAGTTCTCGAACGAAGAAGGCCTGCGGGTTACGTAACGCAGGATCGATCTATCGCGCATCTGCATCTGCGTACGCTGATGATCGCCGTGCCGGTTCACGGACGGGCTAATTCAGCCAATTTACTCGATTCCCCCGGCGCTGCCACAATAGACCGCCAACATGGCTCTTATGGTGTGGCCGTGCTCGCCATGGTGGCCTGGCGTTTTTCGACGCGGGACCGCGGAATGCAGACGTCTCGAATTAAATGCGCGTCAGTCAAGGCGTGCCCGTCTGTTCACCCGCGCCTATTATTCTCACAATTCGTCTTTGACATTGATATTCCCAAAGCAGCCCTACAAAGAAGATTAAAGGGACATTTCGTTTTTGTATTCCTATAAGATCGCCCGTATTTTCAAATTGAGCCACGAGGAAGATTAATTAATTCCGTTTGAAAGATCTGAGCACTAGATTATAATTTTTATTTATTCTTTGTAATACATTGATCATTTGTTATTTCATTTCTATAATCGTATCTTTGAATTATTGCAAGTACATTTTGACACATCTTTGAGTCATCTTCAGTGAGTTAAATAATTAAATAATAAAACAAACTAAGTATTGCTCTTTGTTATAATTTAAAACATAAAGCCGTGAATATGAAATGAAATAAAATATTCCTTATAATTGTACGTTGATTTTATATTGCAATTTAAAATATAATAAGAATAAAACTTAAAGTTAAAAAAGCATAACAAGGAAATACAAAAATATTTAAATTGATTTTATGGAAATATGTATAATATATAATACACGTATCCTACAAGTTATATTAACGTAAAAAGATTAAAAAATCAGTTTTATGTTAGCGCTGCGTATACAGTCACTGATAACATCAACTTTACGTTACGAATATCAAATATGAATGTCAAATTCATTTCATTACAAACAATAATAAAGACAAAGGTAAATAAAAAATCTATTTGTTTACAATTACCAGTAACTATCGTGAGGATCAATATAGAACGGATAGTTACACAATCAAGTGTAATATACCTCTTCATTGAAACATGACTACTACAAAAAGAGTATCATGGCCTATAATAATACTGTTTATAAAACGGCTCGTGAACTCGCGTGTGCATCGATTGGAAGCAATCTCGTTCCCTCCTCCGTGCTGGACTTGAGTCGCTGAACAAAATCCGCGACACGCGGAATGCGAGCGGAAAACCGGAAGCGAGCAGTCGAGACGTCTAGGCGCGCAACTGTATAAGGGTGTAAGAATGAAAGAGGTGGACCCTCCACTACCAAGCGTTGTTCCTCACCCGACACCCCCTCCCCCATCCCCCTCCCATACGGTAGCCACATGTATTATAGGTTCTGGGCACTACCAGAGGGGGAAAAGTCATCGCGGGGATCCAGCTGATCCGGTCGACGCGTTGGTCGGGCTTCCTCAGTTACTGTTGGACCGCACGCTGATCTGGTGTACGTGTCGTGCTGGATGAATATCCGGCTTCGATATCAATTTTCCAGAAGAACGGAAGTCCGGGCTGCAGCGCAGCGCAACGACCTTGACCCTTGGATCGCGAGGTCGCGCGAGAACCAGCGGAAATTGAAGGTGAGCAACGAGAAATGATTAGAGGCCTAAAGAGAAAGAGAGAGAATCAAGAGCACGCAGAGCGAATGTTTGATTCTCTGTTAATTAACTAACGGAACGATAATCAGATAACGGGTTTTGCAATAACGGATAATGGATCCCTCCTGCTTTGTCGATTGATTATTGAGATATTAGGTTGTAAAACGTAAAGTGATTTTGCTGCTCGCATTTAAATTATTCGATTTACATGGATAAATGGAAGCAGCCATTTCAGCAACTATTATCTTGTTAATTAATTTATGAGCCATATTTGTTCATTAACAGCAACGATTGTAAATACTATTCTGTATAATTATTTATGTAATCTGCTGTAATGGTTATAATTTATCGCTCTCTCTAAAACCAAATGAGCTATTGATAATTAGAAGTTTTGTAAATTACAATGTGTGTACTCACAAGTGTCAGAGAGAATCATTTTGTTGAAAAATCTAAAATTTTATTTTATACAGATCTGTAAATAATTTTGCTGGGAATCATCAAAAGCATTATGTTGGAGTCTAAAAAAACGATGAGCAATGCTGCAAAAAGTTTTTATGTTCTAGCAACCAGTTTAAGCTCTCAATAAAAATACTTTTAGATCTATTCCAGCAAAATTTTTTTATCTTCCAGCAAAATCGTCCTTTTCGTGTGATAATAAAAATGTGATTGCAATTTTGGCAATTAGCTCGCGTTGGCCGTTGAACTCCAAGTCAGTTAAAGTGGCGCAGGGGTGTGTGACGCAAAATCTGACGATGGGGATGGGCATCCTTAGTAACAGTGTAATGCTGTTCGAGTATTGATTTCAGACACGGAGTTTAGGGTAGCGTTACACGTGTCTACGATGCGTTCAGCAAACATCGGTCATATTCGTTTCGCACATAAACCCTTTAGGATTTCCTTCCGCTCGATTGCGAGCTAATCTGATACAAATCAAGACAGATGCCGTTGCGAAGTAAAAGAATCTCATTAAACAAATTTAAGAAAAAAAATCACTGCAACATCTCTTGACGTTTCAGTTGGACAAATTGATCATTTCTGCTTTTAACTTGTCGGTAATAGCATATAATTTCTGATTCAATGTCTCTACGTTGCATTTTAATGAGATAGATATTTATAGCCGCGTAATAAAGAAAAGATAATAATAAAAATCCCGCAATTTCCAGGAATTTCTTGAAATCATAATGAGACGATGAATAACGATAATTTCCCTATCGATCGTGGATCGTTCCAATGATATATAGGTATCGAATCATTCGATCGCAACTTCGTAGATGATACCGGATGCAGAGGCTGTGTGTCAGACTTCCGAGGCTGCGGTTGACAGCGGCAGCGCCGTATACGAGAAGATTAAGGACCGACCGGAAAAGGAAGTGGCGTCGGTGACCGCCTGGAACCGATATCAGCGATTGGTAGCCGCGATGGAATCCCGAGGTGGTGAATTCAACCGGAAGTCCGTGATCGATGCGATCTTCCGTGGCAGCGATCTCGTCTACGTCACTCACTGATCGGCGGATCGATCAGGCGCGAGTGGGAATCTCTCGCGCGTTCCTGTACCAAAGTACCAGCCAGTATGAAATCACTTTTGAGCAGTGGTGTAGAATTCGCGAGTCACAACGTCCTAATACTTTTTGAACGCGATGGATTTGTACGTGAGGATCTAGCGAAATTTTTCGAAAGAATGGAAACGACATTTACACTTTTACTTCTTCATAGAATGAAATAATAATGCTATGATATTATTACTTTATTCCTATACGAACTAATTATCTCTATAAAGTCATTAGAAGTAATTATTACATTAGTCTACGATAAAAATTTGGTTTAACAATTTTGGTGTTGCGTAGCATCGGCGGCAAATATTTTTCTTAAATCTTGTTAATGTCACGCAAAAATATTAACTTTTATCTTTGCAATAAAATGCACTTTGTTTTGTTGCATCATAATTTTTTGTTTTTTAAATATAGCAATTTTTAAATAACTCTTTTTCTATAAATAAAAAGGCATTTTATTCTATCTTAATCCTGCGGAAAATAATTAATTATATGAAAAGTATGTGCTTTGTAATAATATAATATAATTGGATAAACAATACTAAATAAAAAAGTAATATGAAATTGAAGAAGTTAAAATATAACATTTTTTAATTGCTAATCTCGAAAATAAATTATATTGAAACAAAACAAAAAGCATTTTAAAGCTAAAAGTTGATATTTTCGCGTGGCATTAACGAAGTTTAGAAAGACAAATTAGCTGTCGGTATCGAAACGTCAAAACAACAAAATAAAAACCTTTAAAATCATCCTTTTTTGATCTTGTTGACGTCATTTTTCTTAAAATTATGACGTAATAGCTAAATTTTAAAAACGGATTTGTATTCAACACGTAAAAACTACACGTGAAATGATTACGTTCGTACAGGCAATGATCCTAAAATGTATAAATTCATAAGCTAGTGTTATTGATCTAATTAATTATTGCTAAAAAATAATACTCATTATAGCGTGTTAAACGGTAAATAGTCAACTGAAACTCATTCCGTTTGTCATCTGTAGATGAATAATGTTACATCATGCATATTCAAGTGTTTGATGGATATTTTTTGATGTATTAAGGTTGCTATGCGACGTCGAGAATAGGATGTAAAAGCGCAGTTTGACGCGGTTAACGTGGCTGTGCATTATAGTTCGACGTCGAGCACACACTATTTTTAGATCCGCATGAGGGGAGTTTAATGGTTCTGGGAGACGAATGCTTTCATAAGTTTATACGTGAAGCAAGTATCGTTACGTACGAGTATCCTTGAAGAAACTCCAAACAAGCTAGTCTCGAAATTGAATAAGGCACGCACATGTCCTCATTAACGCTCAAGTCCAAATTGTTTAACAAGCTAAGTATTACTCTAATACGCGTCATATTTTTGAGCGAAAATAAAATTGAATTATGTAATAACAGCGTATGTATATTGAGAGAAAAGTGTTTGATATTGTAATTACATGTAAAAACGATTTTGTTGAAATGTTGAAAAGTTTCACTGATACATATGTGTGAAAATAATTTTGTCGAACCATCAAAATAATTATATAGAATGCTTAAGCGTTAGATGACAATGTTATATAATTTTTGCAATTAGTTTGAACGTCCTGCACAATTATTTTGATGGTACAATGATTTTTTAATTTAGCTAAATTTTTTATCTCAGTAAAATCTTTCTGTCCATGGTAAAATAATTATGATCAGGAATTTTATTTTTATAATTATTATTGCTATAACGGGTAGTAAGAATAATTATATTTATAATATTTTACTAAAAATATATATATATATGGCACAAAAAATTATTATAAATTACAGTTAAATTATAGTAATATTGTACTATTTTTTCTCTCAATGTACATGCATTGTGGAGGCAAAGAAATTAAACGCTTTTGAAGTGAGATTTTACAAAATTACTAACTTGTTAATTATTAACATTGACAGACATAGAACGTACACTATTAATTTAATAAAAATACAGCCATCGTTTACTCTTGGAAGAAAAAGAGTTTACCGATATTCGTAAGCAATTATACGTACCGTAATAATTAGCGAATGTGGATTAACGTAAAAGTAAGCGCACCGCGTTTCTACGCCACTGACTAATGCAATCGTAGATAAAAATACAATTAACGATGCCAAACTGTGTATTACTAGTCAATGTGTGCATAATGAATCATGGAAGAATAGGGTAGACCATTTAATTAGGTAATTACGACAACGGCGGCGTCGTAATTAGGATGTCGCTATCACGCGATAGACGACAGAAGGCGTATCTCTAATCAGTTGCGTGAGTTCATGCGACATTGGCTATGCTCAATCTTGTCAGCAATGAGCAACATTCACTCTATATATACCTATATATATATATATA